TATTTAAAAAAAGTAGTACGATCTTATGATAAAACTGCCCGATGAATCTGAAACTATATAAAGCGCACACATTCCAGATCAATGCAAACAAAGACAAACTCTTGAGAAATTACATGCCGGGCTTGTGGGCCCTTTTATCTTTTTCATTAAACATTTAAACCACTCTAATCTTAATTATTTCTCTAATCTTAATTCCTACTTCTATTCACAAGTAGTAGCAATTTTCACGCGTTGTATACTCACGTGAGATCAAGTTACTATAGTAAGATCTTGTTTGGCGAAGATTAAAATCAGTTTTTTTAGCATATTTTAATAAAAATTGATGAAATGTAATTGAAATGTTGTGGAACCGATGAATTACATGTTTAAAATTAATTGTTGACTTTGACTTTAATAAAAATATAAATTTTAATTTCTATCAAACAAGGGCTAAATAAGTTTTATAGTTAGTAACGTGTAAGCATCATTTATTACAGTTGTTCTTTTGAATAAGATTCATGCTTGAAATTTGATAGAGTTATTGACGAGTTTCTTGTCATAAGAGCAAAGTGCTACGAGATGTTTATTCTTCTATGATGTTTTAGATGAATTTATTTAATCAAAGCTGTAGCCATCCTGCCCGATATGTTGGGTTGGCTGGCTGGCTTTGTTCAGTATGCATCTAATATAGACGTGTTGTTTTGTGTTGTATTAAGAACTTTGTCTTCTTTACGATTCTTCTGATTGTGCTATTATTGACCATTAATTATTTAAATTCAGACAATTGAGAATGACATGTTTAAAAAAATTTCTCCAGTTTCGTTTATTCCAAAAGGGGGACGCCAAGACAAAAGAAAAATAAAGAAAAGAAAAAAATATGGAGAAGAAAATTTGGTAGCATAACCATAGAGAATGTCACAGCTTTTGGGCTTGTTGAATCTGCAAAGCTAAAGCTACTTTATTTGGATGACAAGTCAATTTTAGGATTAGGACATAACAAAGAAACATTAAAAAAGGCAAAATGTACAAGTAGGGGCATGGGCTGTATTGAAAGGGAGGATTCTTGCTGAGTTTCTAGTTGTTTTGACTATTGCTTCATGCATTTGAATTGAGATTTGCCAATAAAAAAAAAAATTGACAAAAAAAAAAGGAGAAAGTAAATTACACCCTTGTTTGAGTCTCATTATTTGGTAAAAATAAATTTTAATATAGTAATTTTTTTGAGAATGTATGGTTGAAAAGTAAAAAACGTTTTAAATTTACTTGTAATATTATTTTATTAATTATCATATGGAGAGCTAAAAGTACGGATAATTATCATATTTTTCATTTTAATTGAAAAAGAATGGAAAATAAACGGAGGCTTAATATGGAGAGCTAAAAGTACGGAAGTCAATTTTTACTATGGGTCCGTTTGATTGCAAAGGTGGAATTTGGGTGGAAAGAAAATGAATTTCAGAGAATTGAATTGATGGGAAATTGTTTTCCTGGGAATTGTAAATTATTGTGTTTAATTGGTATAATTTTTCACGTGAAAAATGTTTAAATTAAAGTGTTTTTTGATGTCCGTTTGACTTTATTTTATAAGAAAATTGTCAATTAAAGGGATAGAATTTATAGGTATTGGGGATGAAATTTGTTTCCATTGCCAAAAAAAATAAAATAAAAAAAATAAAAAAACAAAAGTTTTAAGAAAATCATCCATCTTTTTATGTTCGTTTGGCTTTGTTTTACATGAAAATTGTCAATTAAAGGAAAATATTTTTTTTACAATAATTCTTAGAATTTGTTTTCGTTGACAACAAAAATTAAAAATTAAAAAACGTTACAGTAACCTAGAATTGCAATTCTCACCACTTCATTTGGTGGAATTGGGGTGATGTGGCACAAAACATAGAAATGCAATTCTAGACCATTAAAATGCTATCAAACACCATTAAATTGGAAGGTGGAATTCCAATTCCATTTTCCATGGAACTCCACATCCAATCAAACGCTAATATGAAGTCTCCCTGCCTCGCCCCCTTCCTTCATCTCTCTTCTTCATTTTTTTCTTCATTTTTATTTTTTTTCGAAAATAGGGATAACATCCCACTTTCGATTCTGTCACAAATAAAATAACGTTAGAAATATTAGTACTTCACTCTCAACTTTGGCTCTTATTTATTGTACATTTTTGAGTTAGAAGGAAGAAGATGGAGAGCAATTATGCCTCCTCACATATCAATTATGTACCTTAAACAACATCAAATATTGTTGGACTTAATGTTGGATATACTTTAGATGCATCATATGCAACGTTAGACAAAATCAGACAATGTAATTTAAATTACACTATTCTTTAACAGTAGTTAACTTACTAAACATTATAACTACGTATTTTCTCATTCTCGACGATATAATATATCACACTAAATAATTTTTCGACACCTCAAAAATAAGATTCACTACTTCCTAAAAAGTCAAAATTCCCCATTTCCTATTGGAAAAATCTTCAATTCTTCATCTTAGACAGCTGAATCTTTGAGCCCCCGATTCAGCCACATTATTGTAAAAATGATAATGAAAAATATAGTCATTATGGATCTCATAAAAAAATAAAAAATCAAAAATGGTGACTTGATCTGATAGATAATGATCATATTTTTTTTCATTATTGGGGCTCAAATTGGAATAGGGCCTGAGTCCAATCAATGGGCCAGCAAAAGAGGCATGCCATTATGGTTAATTCCAAATTAAGTTGGTAAATAATTAGGATTATGGCAAAATTAACTAAGAAAAAGACAACCACGCATATGCAAATTTCAACGTGTCAAAATTCAAGTGGCCAATAAGTTTCAATGAATTAATAATTTAGTTTGACTTTTTAGACCTCTTAATAAACACATTCTTGACACTTATAATAATTTTTCTAACTCTATCATTTGTCCAATACAACGTATGGCAAGACAATAAACCAAAGTTTGTCCGTTCAATTTAAAAAGAACAAATTAAGCAATAAGTGTATTTTTTATGATCGAGGTGATAGGACATGTTGAAGAGAAAAATCTTTAAATATATAAATAAATTTATTTATTATCTGCATTGAAGTCTAAATTAAGCCCCGTTTAGTATGTATTAAATTTAAATTTAAATTTAAGTCAAAGTCAAAGTCAACAATTAATTTTAATAAAATATTTCATGAGACTCATAATTTTTCAACCACATCTTTCATCAACTTTTATCAAAATATACTAAAATTTTGACTTTTAACTACACCAAACAGAGGCTAAATCTTTCACAATTGTCCCACTTAAATTTCATTTTATTGGTAATTAAATTCAAACTACACTTTTTATTACTTGCATTACATTTTTAATTATAATGAAAGCTCCTAATTTTTTTTATTTTTTTATTTATATTTCCAACTTTTTTTGACTCATTTTTTTCTTATCATTAACCTTCTAGTACATTTTATCGTTAATGACTATTTCTTTACAAATCATTTCCTAACGTGCATCGAATGAGATGCAAATATTTTTGTCTACCTTTTCTATTTGTTGTTTCTATTGCTTATTAAAAAAATACGAGAACAGATAAGTATTTTTATGTTTTCTAACGATTTTTCTTTTTTTTTGGATGGAAATCGTCATCAGAGGTACAATATTCAAATTAGTAGAAAGGTTTAGGAAATGAATATGATGATAAAAGTTAGAACATATGTGAATGAATGAGCAACAAATAAAATGTAGTGTGGTTGATTAAAATGTAGTTTGAATTTTATTTATTTATTTATTTATTTTTAAAGTTGATGGCGGAAAACACCAAATTGCCATTCTGCAACTATGGTTATTATGGTCGGTTAAGAACCAACAATAGTTAGAAATCTAATCGAATATCACTTCCATCCTTCAAGCTTCATTTTCATGACTTCCTGTCATACCAAAATTAAACCAAAAATAAATAAATAAAATCTTATAGCAATTATTCTTAAGACTTATCTACTCATATTTTAAGTTTTTCTTTAGTAAAATCCTCAATTTATTGTCCAATTAATAAACTGGTTCCCAATCTTTATAAAAGAGCGAGTTAGTTCTAAATCATTAGTAGTTGGTGCACAATCATTTTTCTTTTTCAAAGCAAAAGGTCCAACTTTCTTTTAAATTATTACATCTCCCTTAGAAAAATATGTCCCTTCCATTTCTAAGCATCGTTTAAGCTGAGAAGCAACATCTAGTACCATAAAGTTAGACACATGCATGTCACGTGATGATTTTTAAAACTATCAAGTGTAACTATTTCGATAGCTAAATATCAACTTGCTTAATATTAAAAGTTAGATACGAACTTACTCATTATCAAAGGTTAGAGATAAGAGCCAACAATAAGCTGTCCATTTTCATCTTGCAACTAGAGCGTTGTTTGACGAAGTTTTTGATAAATGTTTTAACTAATTTTAGTGTTTGTTTGTGCCCATTATTTGTGAGTAATATATTATGGAATAGTGATTGATGTTGAAATATGTGGTTAAAAAGGAAGAAATTTTTTTATTTACGTGTAATATTATTTTAATGAAGAATATGTAGTTGAAAATGAGTACTGTAGAAAAAATAATGTGACAGAATGTGAAAAATGGTAGACAAATAAAATCTTAATAAAATTGATGAATATGTGATTGAAAAGTAGAAAAAAGTCGTGACTTCCATAAAATAATAATTAAATTTTAAGTTTGACCAAACAAATACTGAATGAAGATGCATTCTAGGGTGACAAATGTAGAGTTATATTCCCTTACAGTCTTTTTACTATGATAATTAAGAAAAAATAGTCGCGAACTAAAGGGCTCATCATCTATTTATAGTTTTCTTATTTGACTAGAATTCTTAAGATTTGTGGTCCATAGGTACTTGTGATTCAAATCCTTTGTCAAGTGTCAATAGTTAGGGTCCAATTGCAACCCGGACAACATGTGAAGGACCAATAGTGCAATTTCCCCAATTTCTTTTTATTCCGAAAGGTACGAAGTATAGTGTGAAGATGATCCGAACACAGAAGACTTTTGAACACACAGCAAAAACTCACAGTAGACTTTCTCTCTCTGTTCCCTAAATTGTGTCGTTCTCTCTCTAGTTTCCGAAGCCGCCGACTTGAGAAACATCAACTCTCCGGCGTTTTTAGCTTCCTTTAATTGATTATATTCAGTCACCCTTCCTCAAATTCAGGCTTCTGTATCATATTTTTGCATCGAACGTGGCATTTGGACATTAAAGTAGCTATACAGCTTTTTGATAAGATACAGAGCCATGACCTGAAAATCACTTATATTTGTCCAGAAAATTTTTTTTAGTCCAAAACCCATTTCATTAAATTTATAAAATTTTCTGATTTTCTTCGACCAGTGGTTAGAGATAAGCCGATTTTGCATAATTTTTCTCGAGTATAAATGCCTGTCAGATATTTGTCAGTTTGACTCTCAGAAATGCTTGCTGATTTAGATAATTCTTCTACTGTTAATGACTTCACAGCTTCTGGAGATTCCTCTTCAGGTAATCAAATAGCTCCTTCTAAACCAAGTGTCAAGAAAAAGCGAAATCTCCCCGGGATGCCAGGTAGGAAAAAAATACGAATCATTATCTCATTTTTGGTGGTTTTTCAAGAAAATGATCCAATTTTGATTGTGGGTTTTTTTTTTCGTTTTTAATTTCTTAATAGATCCTGATGCGGAGGTGATTGCTTTATCACCGAAGACTTTATTGGCAACGAATCGATTTGTTTGTGAAATTTGCAATAAAGGGTTTCAGAGAGACCAGAATTTGCAGCTTCACAGGAGGGGTCACAATTTACCTTGGAAGCTGAAGCAGAGGTCGAGTAAAGAACCAAAGAAAAGAGTCTATGTATGCCCTGAGCTGAGTTGCGTTCACCACGACCCATCACGGGCATTGGGCGATTTGACGGGGATCAAAAAACATTTCTGCAGAAAACATGGAGAGAAGAAGTGGAAATGTGAAAAGTGCTCAAAGAAATATGCGGTTCAATCGGATTGGAAGGCCCATTTGAAGATTTGTGGAACTAAAGAGTATAAATGTGATTGTGGGACTTTGTTTTCGAGGTTCAAGACTCGATCTTTATCGCAGTTTTTGTACCTTTTTTGCTTTGGAGTTAATTTTTTAATTTGATCTTTATGCAGGAGGGACAGTTTTATCACCCATAGGGCCTTTTGTGATGCATTGGCAGAGGAGAGTGCAAAAAGGCGTACAGCAATTGCACCTCCTTGTGCTGATGAGGAACCGAATATTCAAGCCGTTGAATCATCACCATCATTGCCACCACCTGCGGTGGCACCACCACCACAGGCTCCAGCACCACCTGTTCCTCCTTCAACTGGGGTAGTGTCCTCTGTTTTGACTGTCCAGAATCCAGGTATTTTGATTGAAAATTGGATATTTGCTATTCTAGATTTGGAGTTTGTCCCTATGTATTAGTTTCACAAACCAACAAAAGTTTTTTGTTGTTTATCTTTGTTTGATCTTGGAGTTTGCTTGTATTTTATCTGTTACTGGTATATGTTGTTATCTGCTAACAATGTTAGACTAAAAAAACTAATAATTATTCGAAAGTGCAAGAACTAGAAAGAAGTTGAATGAAGAAAAAGAAATCACGTGAGAGAATTAAGAACTAAGATTCATCTAAGCATACTTTTTGGTAAAGCAGATGCAATGGGATCCAAAAGCTAAACAGAGCAAAGTGGACTTGAAAAAGAAAACTATAATTGATTCTCTTTTTGCTTCATATAAATTTCTTTAAAAAGAAAAGCTCAACTTTCCTTGCTGCTTTAGTTCTTTCAGTGAGTAATTATTTTCTGTTTATTTCCTCTTGATGTTGTTATATTTACAGAGTTGGTCGAAAGCAGCAATCCCAGTCCCACTACCCCACAGATTCTGGAGGAGAGCCTGACCCCGGCCTCGACAGTCACCAGCCTAACCACAAGCTTTAGCAGCGCCAGCAGTTCTAGCAGCAGTGGAAGTACAAGTAGTAACGCGTTTGCCAGCTTATTTGCTTCATCCACAGCCTCAGGAAGTTTGCAGTCTCAAACAACTGGATTCACCAACTTATTTCAAGTTATGGCTCGCCCCGAGCAGGCAGCCAATGTTGCACCATCTTCTTCCGCAGAACCCGTGTCCCTCTGCCTCGCGACGAATCATGGGTCTTCAATTTTTGGAACAGCAGGGCAAGAGCGCAGGCAGTATGCTCCTGCACTTCAACCTGCTGCCATGTCTGCAACAGCATTGCTACAAAAGGCTGCAGAGATGGGTGCAGCTGCGTCAAATGCATCATTGTTGAGGGGGCTTGGATTTGTATCTTCTTCCTCGCCCTGTAGTGGTCTGCAGGAATGGAGCGCGCGACAAATTGAGCCGGAGGGTCCACCATTGGCTGCTGGTCTTGGATTAGGATTGACCTGTGATGGGGGGTCTAGTTTGAAGGAATTGATGTTGGGGACTCCATCTGCTTTTGGCCCTAAACACACCACCCTTGACCTCCTTGGATTAGGAATGGCAGCTAGTGGCGGCCAAACTGGTGGGCTATCAGCATTAATGACGTCCATCAATAATGGCCTAGATGTTGCCGCGGCATTTGGTGGCGGAGAATTTGGTGGCAAACACATGGAGTAGGGCAACTGGACTCCCGAACGAATCATCCACTTACGTTTCACCCAAGCTTTACCCCGTTCAAGTTACGACGAATCGATGTGCATGGGCACGAGGCTTCAACTAAATTAATGTTTTGGATAGCAACATTTGTTATACCATGCTATTAGTGTAGAGAAATGTACTTATCAATGGAGTCACAGGAGTCGTTGAACCTCTTCAATGCGGTCTGCCATATTTGCCAGTAAGGGCCAACTGGACTTGTTGTAGTGTATCAGTACTTGATCTTGTTCTGCTCATAATTATAATATGAAATACCTGATTAAGATACATAAATCCCTTATAATGGCCAATGATAGATGGAATCGGCATCGACGCTAATATATCGATATGTTTCCAACTGATTTAAGTGCGAAGTGGAGGTATGGCAGTGCTCGTCTTGTCCTAAAGATTTGAGCAATAAAAATAGAAGACTCGCTAGTCTACGTGTCCTTTAGGTTCGACTTAGCTATGTATGTCACTGCATTTTTCGCTTCACATACTCTGGACTCGGTGTAATTGTATACTTGAATGGAGTAGCTTCTATGGCTCTCCGTGTTCTTATCGATTTTCACTCAATTCACTCGAAATTTTCTCAGCTCCTACTGTATTTTCGCTTGATAAATTTTTTTAACGTGGAAAATTTGCATTTTTTGTCCCGAATCTTTGATAAATGTATCAAATCTACTCTCAACTTTTTTTAACATAATTCATTTCCAACTTTTCAATTGTATAACAAAATTTGTCGTGTCGTCTATTTTGATTATCAAATGACGGGTTTGTCTTCTTTTTAAATAAACAAACATAAAAGAAAGTAGTAAAATAATAAAATTAAAGAAAAATTGCAAAAGAAGTCCCATAATTTCTCTCACATTTAAAATAATTAAATACATATTAACACCCAAAAAAATAAAAAAAATAAAAAATTCATCTTCCTCAACCAAGCTTACCATCCATGCCTATCAACACATCCCACTCCCACCTACGGTCAAACATTACCTCCATAAATGCAATAATTGATAATGGTGGTTTTGTAATCGAGACTGTTGATTTTTTATTCAGTTGTATTATTTTTCTTCTAAGGTGGTGGTGGTGATGATGCCTTTGTTAGTGTGATTACATTTGTAGAGGTAATGTTTGGTTATGAGTGATGGGTGAATTAGGATGGGCACAGCCGAGTGACGTAGTGGGTGAGTTTGGTTTGGGAAATTTTTCTTATTATTATTATTATTATTATTATTATTATTATTATTATTTTTGTATTTAATTATTTTAAATATAATTTATTTGTACTTTTGAGAAGTCATGGAACTTTATTTGCACTTTTTTCTTATTTGTTTTTCAATGCCTTCTTTTAGATTTATTTATTTAACCAGAAGGATAAATTCGCCATTTAATAATCAAAATGGAGGGATTGGAGAATTTTATTATATGATTAAGAGGTAGGATGGATTATGCTTAAAGTTTGGAACCGAGTTAGGGCAACATAATAGTTGATGTAGGAGATGATTGAGCACACTTTGACTTTGTGATGGTCGGTTACCTCGGGTGTCAAATTTTTCGGGCAAAGTGACATTTTCCTAAAATATGAGGATAGATTTATTACCTTTTGCAAAGTATGAAAATGACAAGTACAAATTTAGCCCCTGTTTAGACTCCATTTTCCAAAAACTCATTTTTAATCACGTATTATTTCATGAAATAATTTTACATATAAATTTAAATTTTTTTTATATCTTTTAACCACATATTTTCTAAAAAATTACTATAACAAAATACAGCCCTTGTTTGGCTCCATTTTAACAATCATTATTTTTAAATTCTTTTTACACAATAAAATATTTTGTACGTAAACCCAATTTTTTTTATTTTTAATCACATAATCCCAAAAATCACTATTTAAAATTCTATGTTCTCCAAATAATATTTGTCAATCAGGGGCCTAATGAGGTTATGAAAAAAAAAATGTTTTGGAATAGTATTTTTTGGAGAATTTGTAATTAAAAAAGAAGAATTTTTTTTGAATTTACATGTAATATGATTTTATGGAAGAATGTATTATTGAGAATGAAAAAAAATATATTAAATGGAGTACGAAAATAAAAAGTACATAAGAAAATGTCTTTTTTTCTTTTTTTCTTTTTAGTAAATCCCTATTTGATAGAGATTAAAATTTAGATTTTAATTTAAATTAAAATTAACATTTAATTTTAATAATATATTTTATAAAATTCACATCCTTTCAAATATACATTTTATTATTTATTATCAAAATTTATTAAAAAACTAATTTTAATTCCCACCGAATCAAGGCTAAATTTTTTCACAGTTGGGCGGCAAATGATTAAAAATTGGTCGCAGTTTATGATAGGACATCATATGGGTAGGTTAAATGAATGTAGATTAGGCATGGGATTGTTTGCTTGATTGTGCCTTTTGTTTGACCACTTGAGGAATCTTTTATTTTCAACTTATGATAATTATAAATGTACTTAAATAAAATTTGACCAAGATGATTTAATTAAGGAATCTTAATTAGGAACCTTTTATTTTCAACTTATGATAATTATAAATGTACTTAATAAAATTTGACCAATACGATTTAATTAAGAATTTATTCTTTTCTCGCCTTAATTATCATTTATGGTGCGTTTGATTGCTAATATTTTTTCCACATAAATTCTTACTTTTATGTTGTTTAACTGATTTTTATTTATGAAAAATATTTTCCTATTTTTGGTCACGTGATCATATTTTTCTCAAAATCAAGGAAAATATTTTCTTTAGGAGGAAGAAGATTTTATTTTTAGGGAATTTACTATCTCTCATCTATTTACTATTTTTCATCTACTTACCAATAAAAATCGAACAAATATAATTTTTTTAGGTTAAAAATTAAATTAATTAAATACATTTAATTGACAATTTTCAAACAAACAAGTTCTAGGCAATTGAATTACCTAGAATTTATTTGCTTTTAATGTAAATTCGATGTTTGCAATCAAACGCACCCTTAATGTACAGTTGTTATCGATCAATTGTTCAAAATTTTCAAAAAAAGGTTTAATTGTTCTTTAATTTCTTCTTCTTCTTCTTCTTCTTCTTCTTCTTCTTATTTTTATTTTTTGATAAGTATGTGAGTGGACCGATAATTTTTAATAAAAAAATTATTGGAAAGGAATTACGTCTCAATGCCAACGATTCAACTATCAATGAATTATTTGATTAATCAATCACAGTTCGACCTTTATTAAGGTGAAAATAATCTAAAATAATAAAATTTCTGTACTAACTGTAATATTATTAATTCGAGTAAATACTTTTAAAAAGTTAAAAATCCATCAATGTAAGATGATTGGATAATCTTTTATAATTTTTATTTATTTTTATTTTTTGAATTTCACCCTTCTTCCAAATGAGACTCCAACCCACTGGGCTAGTTGATCCGTTGGGCTTGGATGTTGAAAAGAGGAAGGAGAAAGCAGATAATGGGCCTAAAAGTTAAGAGGCCTAACTTTAATGAGCAATGGTAAGCCCAACAGGCCAATCAGGGCCTGTTTTTATCCACACGAACGAAAATCAGGCCCAATCAGGGCCTGTTTTCTTGATTATTATTTTTAAATGAAAACAAAAACAAATCATAAATTTTGGACACTAACATAGTTATTTTTTTCCTTTTTTTTCAAGAAAATATTCCTAACTTTTCAAGCTTTTGCAATTGTTACTGATTTATCAAAAATAGAAGTTAAAAGGTCGCAGGTATCATTTTTTGATCTTTAATCTTTCATCTAATATTAGTGATGGCAATGGGACATGATCGGTCCGACCTTGTCCCATACACACTCTTCTTGGGGTTTTTAATAGGTGAGGTGGGGTTGATCCAATCTAGATAAAAAAATTCCTCATTTTCCCATCCCATCTTGCTCGATTGCCTTATTTATTTTTTTGAACACAATTGGGATTTAAAACACAAAAACAAAAAAGTGTCGTTTGATGACCAACTACTAATAAATAATAAATTAAGGTTCTATTTTGATGTATAACAAAAATAGGGGTGTAAATGTATCATTTTCTACAATGTTGAAGGGTTTTTCTAAATATTTTGGTTCATATGGTCCTATGAACTTATCAATTAATTATCTCTTTAATCAATATTGTTTCAACATTCAAAAATGTAGATATTTGTGGATTGAAAGTTTAAGCCGAAATTACAAGTTAAAGAAAATTAGAATTGATGTTTCAAATTAAAGGTAGAGAAGCTACTTGCTCTATTTCACATAAAGTTGGAGACTTTGTAATTTTCCAGCTTCATTATATCGAGCCTCTAACCTAAATAGCAAATGATCGTTTAGAAGTTTAGAATGACAATATGATCGAGCTTAGGCGGCTCATAATGACACAAGTGGGCTTGGTTAGACATTGTCAAACTTAGAGTCTCAATCTAGTTAAGGCTACAAGGATCGAAGCCTACTTGAAGCAATGCTTAAAAACAATCTCGAAGTAAGACAGGAGGGATCAAAACTAGCAAAATTCAACAAATCTTAGGCCGCATTGATTCCATCACTGCCAAATTAATCCAAATGCACAACTAACATGTAAATCAACGTGAGATGTGTTTGAACATAATAAGAAACATGATGTTACTAAATAGAATCGTGTACCTAACATATAAATCCTTTAAACTAGAAGTATATAGCGATTCCCTACATTCAAGGTACTTGAAATTAAATAAAATTCACGATACTCTTTTTTAATGACTGAAAAGACTTGAGATATTTTCTTTTGCGAATTTCTTTCAAATTTAGGTACACGTAGTCGACTATAAGCATACGATAAACCCATCTTTTTCTTTTTTGATTGAGAGAGGGAGAAAGATGGATGTCAATAATATGCTTTGAGCCTTTTATTTTTTCAAAATTTTCTAGAAAAAGAGAGATGCCAAACGTGAAAAATGAAGGAATCAGCCATATATTATATGTTATTAGAGTGTTCACAAATTAGTGATTCAAAGGGTATTTCAAAATCAAAATCAACATATCCAAGGATCATTAAATTTCACCCAACAAAAGGGTCCAATACTCAAGTATGCTTGTTCACATACTATAGTAACTATACACAATAAGTGAATAGGAGGACTTTTGTAGCCCGTTTATGAGGTTGAACTCGTAGCAATACATTGTCTATTATGTTATTTACTGAGTATCAAATATGTACTTGAAGCAAGGTTTGTGCAAAATACTGAATAAAATAAGACGATATAATGAATATGATTTTAACATTTTTTAATACGGTGTCCAATTATGAACGATCATTGTTGTAAAACATAGCATTAATGTCACGGGCTAGGTTGCACATAAACTTCTAAGGCGTTCTAATTTTGGAATCTAAAACTCGTCACAAATGTTTCAAAAACTCCATAAAAAATTCCCTTTTTAATTTTTTATAAAATTCAATAACTTTGATAAAAATTAATTCAAATTCTTAAGAAGTTTTTGATTGAAATTTTTGAAAGCTTAGATGAAGAGATGCACATTATTATATCATTACTAATGTATTTGTGTTAAGGGATATATCCTACAAAATATAGATTAACTCATAAGGAATTAAGTTACTCCTTTTAACAATGTTCACATTTTAAGATGAAAATCTCTTAATATGAATATCAAAGCTTATTAAGTTCTAACTTGCAGTTTAATTCAATTAAACTCAAATGAGCACATGAATTTCACAACTTGTCCATTCAAAAAAGTTATCATCTTGCGGAGGGTATGTTAAAAAATAAATCTTACATCTAGAGGTGGACCTAGAGAATGAATATATATATATATATATATATATATATATATATATATGTTGTTGTTGTTATTATTATTATTAATATTATTTTTTGGCACAAGGCTACTATGTAAAAGAAAAACAATTCATAAAAATTCATATTTTGCACATGAAAAACTAGCTGGGCTTGTGTTGTCTTGGGTCCCAAGCTCCTGCTCTCGTTTGAGCCACATTAATGTAAGAATAAGAATGAAAAATATAATCGTTACGGACTCCACACAAAAAATAGAAAGTCAAATATGATGACTTGATGTGATGAATAACAGTCATATTTTTCATTTTAATGGGTAAATAATGAGAAATAAACAGGTGCTTAATAAGGTTGATATATTAATATTTCGTATCCTACTATTAGAAATAACGCTTCAAAGTATTTATATCATATCGTGTTTCATTTTCCTTGTTCATTCAACCTGGGCCATGGCCCATTCACCACCATGCTGTGCTTGATGTGGCCTTGGACGTGGATCTTTTCCACTCTTGCCTTTCCTTTGGGGAGTCACCTACCTTTTTTATTTTATTTTTTTAATGACTTATCATGTCAATAAGAATCTTACCACACAAACTTTTGTATGTTTCAAGCTGCCTCTTTTCTCTCCTTGTGTGCCCCGTCTGTTTCAAACTTAACTCTTAAGTAATGACTTTAGTTCATGTTTGGCTAACTTCAAATTTCTACTTATAAGTAAATTCTAAAATAAATATTATATGCTTTGAAATTTCAAGTTACTATTTTTTTTTTTTAAAGAAAAAAATATTATTCGAACTAGATATCCAATTTGCAAATGAAATGCAACAAGTTTATATTTTCCATGCGTCTCTTCTCCAATCATTTTTTTTTTCAAAACAAAATTGGAAATAATATTGTCCGATAAGTTTATCTAAAATGTATTGTAATGTTAACATAGGGAAGAACTTCAATTATTGAGATCAATATGCGAGTCTTTTATAGGTCAATATTTTTTTCTTCTCAAATATGTTTTCCGTTGTATAAACCTTCTTTATGTTTTCTTATGTCATGTTCAACTTAAGCTCATGTTTGATAGGGATTAAAATTAAAATCTTAATTGAAGTCAAAGTAAATAATTACTTTTACTCACATATTTCATAAGCTCTACAACTTTTTAACCACATATTTTATTAACTTTATTAAATTTAATAAAAAATTTGATTTTAATACCCACCAAACAGAGGTTAAATCATCTAAAAAATTTTAGAATTTTGAGGAGAATGAACGTAAATTTTCATTGTCGGTCCCCAAACTTTTTTTTGATAACTCAAGTGTCCAAATTTCGCCTGACTAATCCTGATGATTTGCAGCTTTCCTTCTTGGTTCGCCACTCAGGTAAATTCGAATGCTACTACAAGCTTATACACACTTGGATCGGACATTCGGGATGCAATTCTGCTCCATGTAGATCTCCCTTTACGACGTGCAGACAGGACCCTTGAAGAGACGACAAAGCGCATAATAACTTCACCTCCACAAGACAATTGCCTTCCAACATAAATGTTGCATTCCAGCTGCCGCGGGGATTCGAATCTCCGATATTTTATATAGAACCCTCCTACTTTACCACTGCGCCATGTCCGTGGGGGCAATTGGTCCCCAAACTTTTGATTGAGTTGCAAGTTGATCGTGAAACTTTCAAAATAATTGCATACCACACCTTAGTCCTTAGAAATGGAGATCACACCCACTGTCGTTCAACCTACCAACAACTGTTACCACCATCACTACGATTCCCATTTGTTGCAACCAACTCAATCCATCGATGTGCCTATGTGCACTGAAGTCTAGGCTAGATATTAAAACTCAATCCAAAACAAAATATTAAAAACTTCCTCGCTTCAAAATTAACCTTTTGAATTAATTTATAATATTTACTAGACCTAAAAGGTCATGATTAGAAGAAAACTTTAAAGTGCAATCTCATTGCACCCCTTTTTCATATGTGTGTTCACACTTCACACTATCATCCATCCTATGATTAGGTACAAATAAATGCCAAGGGACATTGATAATATATAAAATTTGATTAAGCCCCGTTTGGCCACTCATTAAATTTCATTACATTACATTACATTTCATTCTTCTTTCTCCTATTTTTAAGTACACAATCTTTTATAAAATAATATTACACGTAAATCGAAAACTTTTAATTCTTTTTCAGCAACTCATTTTTCAAAAAAACACTATTCTTTCAATTTTCTTTTTCTGAAAATGGGGGGCCAAACGGGACACATGAGTGCTTCTTCGCTTTAAATATTATTTCAAGGAAAACCCTGTTTGGCAAGACTCAAGGCCAGGCCAAAAACAGGGGGGGACGTTTCGGCTCCCTATTGGCGAGGTGCCTTTCTAGCCAAAAAGCAGGGCTCTTATTTAAACCAAAGGACCTCCAAAAATCTTCTACTAAAGTTAAAATGAAAAAGAAAAGCACGATCCTAAACTCCGACTCTTCATGAACTTTTAGGATGCGGAAGGCTTCTTCTTGAAGGCTCGAACAATTAGTGCGATATCACTTTAGAAGAATTAGAATTATAATGTCGTGTCAATGTTCATGGGTTAAAAATAAAGATAATGCTGATTTTCTATACATCGACAAGATTGGCCAGATGTTTAATTCCTAATGTAATTGCACCATCATTGAAGGAACATATTCTTCTTGTATTTGAGTTGTTTTCATCAGGTTTACACTTCATGTTATCAAAATATTAGAAAAAAAAAATATGGGATTTATTTCATTCAAGTTCGGTAAGAGATTTTAAGCCTACTTACTTAAAGCTCCAATGTAGGGTATGGAAAGTATTTAAATATTAGTTATTCATGCGTAACTCATAAAATTTCGTGTTTTATCTCAACATATAAAACTTTGCTATGAATTTTTTTTTAATTTTATTTTTGTTTAAAATCGTACTTTTTAATTCAAAAAGAGGCGCAGATCAATCTAAGACCTTTAAAAAGAATATAAGCCATTAAACCACAAGGGAGAAGACCGGCCCGACTTGGATACTAAGGCAAAAAAGACCCGCTCGACCAATTCAATTAGGATTTGCAAGGCAGTTCCGATATGTATCGACAAAGTAAAGTCGGTCTAAGAAGAAAAAAAAGAAGTGGGTACCATTTGAAAGTGCAATTTTACCTCTCATTTTTTGAATTGCTTGTCATTGAGGTAAAAAACAAAGTAAAAAAGGAAAAATTATGTGACTTTTTTTAGGGGCCCCTTTGAACTTTGCAAATAAAGACATCCACTAAGGTGACTTTCCAAAAATGAAGTCTTTTGTCACTTATAAAGACCACTACCTATGCACTTTTATTCTATGGAGTGGAAGACATGTATGGGTAGACTCAAACCTATCAACGGTTCTTATTGGTCGATCAAGAATAATTTGATCATAATTTCAAAAGCTACATAATGGATTGGAAAGGTAACTTATTCAAGACTTTTTATCTTTAGTCAAACTCGTGATATTTGATATGCAATATTTTGATAACTATTTAAATTATTATGTTCTTTAATCATCTCTATCTTTAGCTCCAAAAGAAAAGGGAGGATGAACATGTTTGGTTCACACAAATTTGTAGGTTTTTTGACTTATAATAAAGTTACTTTTTATTCGAACATGTCCTATACCAACCACTCTATTATTGCTTTCTAAATGATCATAATAAGCTAAAACTTGTATGTTCGGGTAGGTCTTTCTAATCCTATTCCATTCCGTTCAATCTTATTTTGCCAATATTGTTCATTATTAGTACTTTCGAATTACCAACATAAAATAGTGCATATCGAGGATAATTTAGCAGATGAGCAAGTTAAGTAAAAGAACAAGGGAATTGAGTTTAGTGAGCTTGATTTTTTGAATATAAAAAATAAAATAAAATGTGAATATCATGTGATCAAGAAAAGTTGATGTCGAATCAAAGAAAGTAGTACAACAAAGTTTTGCTCCTAAGCCTTCAACAAGAAGTTTCTAAGAGATGGATCCCAAATCTTCTAATCTTCTGCCTTGTGTCCTCCCATGTATTGTCCATTACCTGTTCCTCATGCCTCCCACTTCATGCATACCATCCCCATAACAACCCCAACACCCACCCCCACCCCACTCCACATTTGTGCATGAATTTTTCATCACATTCCGATCCTATGTACATACAAGTAGTAAATCATTCATTTAATCACTCAAGTTCTGATACTCACACTGGGTGAATCCTCTCACCCAACATGTTCCTCTCTTACCCACTTGGCGTATGAGTTCTGTGATTTAAGTGGACGATCTTACCCTTACACTGTGTATATTAAACAATCTTGTTTTTCTCCACCATACACCCTACCTACCTCACCCTTCCCCCAATTTTGTGCACGCACGTTTCATTACACTTCCTCCATGCCATCCCCATTACCCTTACCCCACCTCACCCCACCCCACCTTTGTACACGCAAAGATAAAAAGGTGGTAATCATCAACCCTCAAAATCCCCCCCTTCAATTTTCAACTCAAAGCCATTAAAGATCAAGAAAGGATTTGCATAGGAAGAGAGACATGAAAGTACCCTTTTCTGCAAATAATCAAAGCGACCAAACTGTGAGCTCAAAGCCATCGAACTGCACCGTTAATACCACCCCAAACACCAATTTACAAGACGTCACCACGCCCACCAGCTCTCCTTACGAGCCTAAATCGGTTCTAGAAATTCAGGGTAGTCCGAGTCCTGTTGCTGATAAAAAACCTGCATCTGACACTGATAATTCGATCGTTTTGGACGATCCGTTCCAGCTGGAAGATCATGTGCTGAGCCACCAGTTTGATGATTTGGATTCTTTCATGAGAGAGTTTGGTTTGAACGACGATTCCAGCCCAGTTTCAAAACCAATTTATCAACACAGTATTAACGGTGAGCCTCAAACTCTAACTCAATATCCGTCTCTCCAAGAATTTCCACCTATTAGCTTGTTCGATTCAACTCAGTTTGTGCCATCAGATTTTGGTCTTTTCTCTGATATTTCTACATACAATACTGCATCGTTGAGCCATAATACTAACATCGTCAATACATTTGATGTCTCTACTGATATTCAATCCTTCAATAATAACGACTGGAACGTGGGATTCAATTATGTGAACGACTTAATCCGACTAGCAGAGTGCTTCGATACCAACTCGCTCCAAATAGGGCAAACGATATTAGCACGGCTGAATCAAACTTTGAGGTCTCCAATAGGAAAGCCCCCTCAAAGAGCTGCCTTCTACTTCAAGGAAGCCCTTCAATCCCTATTCACAGGGTTGACTCAGACCACTCACCCTGCCAGTACTTCAGAAATTATCCAGACAATCAAAGCGCAGAAGACCTTCTCAAGCATCTCTCCAATTCCCATGTTCTCCAGCTTCACGGCTAATCAAGCCTTGCTCGAAGCCACAGATGGCTGCACTCATGTCCAAGTCATCGACTTTGATATCGGGCTTGGAGGCCAATGGGCTTCCTTCATGAAGGAACTAGCCAGTAAAGCAGATTCTCGTAAAATGACACCACCCGTGCTTCGAATAACAGCTATAGTTCCTGAAGAGTATGCAACTGAATCAAGATTGATCACAGAGAATTTAACTCAATTTGCACGTGAACTGAATATAAAATTTGATATAGACTTTGTTTCAATACGTAGCTTTGGATATTTATCTTTCAGAGCAATCAAGTTCATGGATGGAGAAAAAATTGCAGTTCTTTTATCTCCAGCCATATTCCAACAAATAGGGACGGGGTTTCTGAATGATCTCCGCCATGTTCCACCGCATGTGGTGGTGCATGTGCACAGTGAAGGGCAGATGGGGTTTGGAACCTCGTCCTATCGTCAAACTGTGATTGGTGGGCTGGAGTTTTACACCGGCCTCTTAGAGTCACTGGAGACAGCAAATGTAAACGATGATGGCAGTGATTGGATGAGGAGGATTGAGACTTTTGTGTTCTTTCCCAAGATTCTCAAGGCAATGGAGGCTGCTGGCCACCAAGGGCCGCCATGGAGGGAGGCTCTCGTTGCAGTGGGATTGAGGCAGGTGGGGCCGAGTCATTTTTCATACCTTCAAGCTGAGTGCTTACTAAGGAGGATGCAAGTAAGAGGATTCCACGTTGCAAAGCATCAAGAGGAGATGCTGCTTTACTGGCATGACAGGCTACTTTTTGCAACGTCAGCTTGGAAGTATTAAGTGACTGCATCATCTTATTAAGATCAATTAAACTCTTTATGTGTGGTCTGTAATTTATATTTCTGTTTTTAGCTGGGAAAATAAGGAATCAGTCTTTCATTTTTCTTATAATTGCATTCATACTTTAAACATGGTGACAACTGATATAAAATCAAGTAATGTTGGAATGTAAAGGGAGGAAAGCTGTAAAAATTAAGAAAAGGAGGGCAAAAGATAGGCAGAGAAAGAAAAAGAAACAAAAAATCATTTTTCTTCGGTTTTTTCTTCTTGGATTGTGTAAAAAACCAGTTTTCCTGACAATGAAGTATTTTAGTATATTTATTCAAAACATTAGAAGAGGGTTCAATAAAATCAATCAAAATAGTTAATGAAAATTTCATATTCCATGAGATAAGCATACTTAGCAGTGAAATTCTCATGTGTTTGTTGCTCGCCTGGATAAGATTTTAAAGTTGAAATCGCATCCATTGGCTTGTGCAATATTGTCAAGCAGCATTTAGAGCATGCCCTTAGTGTTTCATATGGATTCTTGATCTGCTATAGAACTGATGATTCTCCTTGTTCATCCCAGTGACTAAAAGTTTGCTAAGGATGGGTGCAGTAATTTTTGTTAAACTTTGCTACAGGTACAAAATTTAATTTCTTAACAGAATTAATAAAGGGGAGACGGCTATCACCCTGTGATTGGCTGCTGTCAAAACAGTTTTTAGCAGCATCCAATCACAGGGAGACACCTGTTTTCCTGTATTAATTCTGTTAAATAAAATATGTACCTTTACAAAAATTCATTTTTGTTCATGTATTCCGCCAGTTTTTGGCTATTGTCACTTTCAACCTGATTCAATAACTACATGTCCTTTACTCCTTTATGCCCAGTCATTCTGTAGAAAACTCGCCCCCCATTTGATTTCAGATAACCAATATTGTCGAGGATCATGAAATTATCATTCTGGAGAAATATAAAAAAGAATAAAGAAAGAATTTGAGTGCATGCAAGTGATCGTCTAGATAAAAACACAGAAATCTAACACGATAAAAGAAAACATGGAAAAGTTTGCATCGTTCCTCTAAATAACCGAAAAAGTGTGTGTATGTGAGAGAATAGAAGAGCAAGAGCAAAAGCAAAAGCAAGAGCAAAAGCAAAAGCATGGCTTTAAAATTCCTCTAATTATGTGAAACATGGTAAGTATCAAGGAAAATGCTGAACATATGTGATCAAAGCTTAATTTCAGCAACAGATTTCCTTCTGTCATTACATCGAGCTGCCTGATTTTGAGCTCAACTTGATTCAGCAACAGATTTCCTTGTGTCAATATATTAGGCTGTAAATACTCAATTACATTTTTTGTACTCCTTAATTCATGCTCTCGGATTGTATATAATTAGTGCTTATAGAAATGAAAACTTGTGTGGATTAAATTCTCAAAATCTCAGTAGTGCAAATCCTCCTTATGGTATCAGAGCCACAATCTCTAACGAGTTACACACCTTCAATTCCTCAAATGGCTGCTATCCCTGCAACCAGTCTTGACTATCCTATCATCACCATTAACGCTGCTACTGCCATAAATGAAAAACTTATCCCAGCCACCTTCCCTCAATGGAGAGCCCAATTTGAAGCACTGCTAATTTGCTATGACCTGATTGATTTTGTCACCGGAATCCACAAATGTCCAGCTATTGATGCAGCAAATCCCACTACCTCCAAAGCTGCGAACTCTCACTGGGTTCGCCTGTTGGAATAATTAATAATTCTATATGTGGGCTTCACATTCGTTTGCAAAATTTTACGGGTTAGATATATGGCTCATAATGATATTTGTGTTTGGACCAAATTTATTAAGTGATCAATTAGGCCTTTTACACCTTACGGGCTGTAATTAATTTGATGTGGTAATTTAAAGTATGTGGGTCGAAAATAAACTCTAATTAGAATTCTAGTCGTAATGGGACGGCTCAAATTATTTCCTATATATAAAGGCTGGGTCCCATTTCCTCTCCATATGTTTTATTAGCTTGCCCCATTGATAGCTAATACTTTTGTGAGGAGCAAGGAGGAGAAGATCTTGACTGCTATTACAACTACTATTCATATCAACAATGGCTTTCACAGGTATAAATTCGTTTTTATTAATTTATTGGATTGTGATTATCGATTCTTAACATGATTAAAACTAAAGATTAACAATTGGTATCAGAGCAGCATGTTAAGATCGAAATCCTTCATGAATTTTTTATTATTTTTTATTTTTTCCCTATATCACGTAAAAAAGGTTTTCTGTTAATACAATTTTGTTGGGGCATATATGTATAATGTATAATTCATTATATAAACATATATAAAGAAATCCAAATCCAAACACGTGGGAGGAAGTCCATTTATTTAATACAAAAATATTGTACAAAATTTTCCACCCCTCCATCTGTTTCCACTTGAACCCGAGTCGGCCAAATCACCTATTTTATGATTGAGGCCAGACCGTGAAATTATGGGTGGAGCACAACTTCTTTCTTGAGCCTAGTAGCAATGATTCTGCTCAGATTCTTCAATGCAAAAGAGAATTGTGATAGGCTTTGATTAGGGTTTTTAAAATAGGACCAAGATGAGAAGCCTACTTACTGGAATTCAAAGAGAATTATTTGGGGTTCTTATATTCGCCGCAGGTACAACATGTAGATGGGGACTCCTGATGTAAATTGCTAATTTCCTAGCCCCTGTTTGCAATTACAAATTGGGGGTTAAGTTTGTAAATAATAAGAAAAGGGCCTGCTTGTAATTAAAGAAACTATAGGACCTGGCTTTAATTTCAGACATGGGGTCAGAGTGCAATTTTCAAAGGGTGATTAAATTTGAATTTTGAAATTGGATTTAAAAGTCCTTATTCCAATATTTCAATTTTGACCCAATTGAAATTTTATTTAAACTTGACCCGATTTAAATTCTATGTTGAATAAATAATAAAATTAATTGACGACTTTGTATTATTTCATTAAAATGTTATGTATTGCCATTATTTATGCATTAAATTTCATTTTGAAATTTTGTTGCCAATTTCGTCTCTTAATATTAATTACGTATGAATTTTTTGCCTTTCATCAAGTAATGATCATGATTTGTTGCATAACTTCTATGATTAAAATTTTTCATGGACATTGAGACGATTCTTATTTTCCCACTAAGAGAGAAATATTTTCAAATAAAAATGAGTGGTAGCTGCCAAAGTAGCACACTCATTTTTATTTATTCGATTTTCTCTACAATAAAAATACATATATTTTTGCTCAACAACTTTTGATTTATTGCATATAATATCTTGTCCAAAGGTGTTATTATATGTAATATTTTTCGAAAATGGCATGAGACGGTTAACGAGCTTATTTTGGTTTAGAAATTTCCTTCTCCCAAAGGTGTTGGTGTTTCGAAAACTAGTGTAATTTTGTTAACTGACTATATGATGTGTTTTAAGAGTACCTTATAGCACGTTGTATTATTGACCCAAAGGTGACTTTATGATGATGCACCTAGGCTCTTACCGTAATAAAATTCATATGTTTCGATTTAAATTACGGATTATCTAATGAATAGCCCATATTAATTAGTTGGATATTTCATCATCCATTTGATTGCATGCATTACGTTTGGATGATATTGAGTGTGATATTTTATGTTTCCACAGTTTATAATGCCTTATCTCTTTCGAATCAATTATCTACTATTGAAACATTGATTGGGAATAACTATGTAAGATGGAAACGAGACGTAGAAATAGCACTTGGTCTTTTGGGCTTGGATTTTGCAATGGAGAAAAAGCTTGAGAAACCCACAGATAAAAGTACCGTTGAATATGTAGCCGAAAATGAAAAGTGGGAAAGGGCTAACAAACTCTGTTTGAAAATCATTAAGCGATTGATATCTAATTCCATTCTAGGTGCCATTTCTGATAATGAAATGTCAAAAGTTTTATGGATGCCATAGGAGAAAAATTTGTTGAGTCTGATAAAGCTAAAATCGGGGATCTGATGGATAAATTGATGAGCATGAGATATGATGACACAAATGGTGTTAGGGAGCATGTCATGAAAATGATAAATATATCATCTAAGCTAAAGGCTCTTGACATTCCCATTGCGGAGCCTTTCCTGGTCTATCATGTTTTGAATAGCCTTCCTAACAAGTTTAGTCAATTTAAGGTTGCTTACAATACTTAGCGGGATAAATGGAATTTGAATGACCTCATTGCAGTGTGTGCCCAAGAAGAGTATAGGATGCACCGTGAAACTGTTGAAACTGTGCATTTAGCTTTTCAGCCATCACAGAATAAGGGGCCTTTTCATAATCATAAACCTAAGTTTCGTAAGAGTAATAAGTCCCACCGAAGTCAGCAGAATAAAAATTTTAGTGGTCCCAAAGGAGTTATAAAGAAAATGATCAATGTAAGTTCTGTAAAAAGAAGGGTCACTGGCAGAAAGACTGTTTTAAGTTCAAGACTTGGTTGGAAAAGAAGAAGAGTTCTCCAGGTATTTCCTTGGCCTTAGTTTGTTTTGAGTCTTCTTTAGTAGATGTGCCTTTGAGTTCTTGGTGGTTAGACTTGGGAGCTAGAATTTATATTCCGAATTCCTTGTAGGGGTTCATAAGCAAACGGAGGCCAAGTGAGAATGAAGTAAGCTTGAGCGTTGCAAATGGATTTCAAGTGAAGGTTGAATTCATAGGAGTAGTGAAGTTAACTTTAGAGTCTGGTTTTTATTTTGTTTTGGAAAATACAGTTTATGTACCGCAAATGAGATGGAATTTAATTTCTATACCGAAACTTGATGCTTGTGGTTTTACATTTAATTTTGGTAATGGAATGGTTAAGTTATTTAATGATTCTCGTTTGATTGGGAATGACATTTTATGTGATGGTTTATATAAATTATCTTTGGCTTATTTTGGTGATGTCTCGTGTGTTACAAATGTATCAAAGAAAAGGACTTTAATTCGTGAATTATCCTCTATGTTGTGGCATAAGCGCTTGGGTCATATTTCTAAGGATAGAATGGAAAGATTAGTAAAAGATGAGATACTTCCTTCCTTAAATTTCTCCGATTTTGACATCTGTATAGATTGTATAAGAGGAAAGTTAACTAAG